GGAAGCTGTAGCTGTGGTAGAGACTGACATCTGAGCTTGAGTCTCAGCCTTCCTGTCACCTGGCGCAGCTGTTGGGGCCAGATCCTACTCAGAAGGAGGATGGGGTAGGTAGCCAGCTAGCAAGGCATACCAGAGGGAAACAAGGTCAAAGCAATCTCCTCCCCCCACGCCTATCCCTGGCCCTTTCCTCTCAGAGGGGCAGCAGGAAGTGAGGAGAAAGGGCTGGGATGGGAGGCGGGAGTAGGTGGGAGGGAATGGGGTTTATCAAGTCGTCCGCGGGCTGCCCAACGGGCAGCAGCTGGCGCAAGTGGCCTGGCTGGAGAAGCTCACCCCAGGAAGGAGGGAGGCCGCCGACCTACTACTAGGCCGACGGACTCCCACACAGGTGAGCCCAGTGCAGACGCTGGTCTGCACTCCCCCTAGGAGAGCTTACAGCAAGGCTCCCTTCCTCCCTTTCCGGGCACCCAGCGGGGAAGCGCAGACGCGGGCCCTTTGGGTAGCTGAGTCCCACTTGGAGGAGCGGATCTAGGAGATCTCGCACTGGGCTCGCGGATCCAGTTCCAAGTCTGCTCCCCAACAAGGAAGAGCTTGTGGGACAAAAGGGCACAAGATACCGGGTGGAGGCCGCGGGAGGGCCCCTACTAGCTTTCTTCTAGGTTGGGTCAGAAAATTCTACAAGGGTGGTGGCCTCCTTGGAGCAGAAGGGGAACCCTGAGGGCTCCCAGAGGCCTCTGACAGGTTGGGCAGAAGAGAACAAGATCCCAAGATTGGCCACCCTGTGATGCGGGTCAGGAAAGGGGGGCACCCAACCCTCAGGGCCCAGCTGAGCTTCCCTGCCCCAAGCCCCTGGGGCCAAGCCGTGACCCACAGCCTGAGTTGCCAAGACAACCACTGCCGGGACAGAGCTCCCGGGAAAGATAAAAGGCGTTGCTTTGCCCCCTCCCCATAGACTGGCAGGAGGCGGGGTTTCCCTTCAGACCGCTGACCCAAAGTGAGGAGCCCAGATTTGTGGGAGGCGGGGCATTACTGTCACAGGAGGCCAGGGATCAGCTCAGGTCAGTGACCCTTTTTCAACACAAAGGAGCCCAACACTTGAGTCTACATTCAGGGGTGCAGACCCAGATCCAAGGGCACGGAGTCCCACAGTAACCTTCTCATGGCCAAGCGGAGGAACGTGGCCTCCTTTATTCCCTCCCCACCCCCACTGCGCGAATGCTCAAGCTGTCCCTTTAAGAGACTGGTGGCGCCGCGGAGTAGAGAGGACTGTGCTACCAGCCTCGGGGCGTGGGGGGGGAATCTCAGGCTGACTGGCGCTTGCCTCTGAGACTCCAGCAGGAAGCGCTGTTTGGAGGGGTCTCAAGGTTCCAGATGAATTACCACGTTCCTCTACAGAGGATCTAGGGTTGCTCGAGCCCAAAACGCAGCATTTGGCGGCGAGAAAAGCGGGCACACCTTCCCGTCCCGACCACAAGTCCTTTCCCGAGTCCGCCTCCTCTCTGGAGTTTTAAAGGGCCCGTGGGCCTGGGGGCGGAGCCAGCAGAGGCGCGGAATCGGGGCAGTGTCGGGGTGGACAGCCAGAGCGGGCAGGGCTAATCCCGGGATGGCGGTGACCCTGTCACGGGTCCTGGTGGCGCCCCGCGCGAGGTGAGGGCGGGCGGTGCAGGGCTGGGGGTTCTCTCCCCAGGGACTGGGTTCTGAATCCCTGGGGGTGCTCCCAGTAAGGCTGCCCAGGAACCCCCACGTGCGGAGCGGGGGCGGGGTCCTGCACAAAGGCCAGGAGAGGGCTTTCTATCCGGGACTGACTGGGCTGGGGGAGGCGAGCGCGCGCGCGCATTCCCGATGGCGGTGGAGGGATGGGCTGGTATGCTAGCGCCGCTGTGGGAGGTCCTCTGTCTCTTTGTCCCCTCGAGGGATACCAAACCTGGGAGAGTGTCAGCGCTTAAGACAGACTCCTGACAGCCTCAGTCACTCTTCTGCCAGGATAGTGTTACACAGATACTGGCCCCATGGCTCTCTTCTTTCCAGCTTCTTAGCCTCTTCAGAGCTGTGTCATACCTTACCCAAGTGCTTTCGTTACTCTGGATTAAGGGTTCTTAACCGGGCACAGGATGGGCCTCAGTGGTTCATCCATGTATTGGATGGTTGGCAGGCATACGTGTGGCTCTGGCAATGAGTGCATAGCCCAATTTATCCAGTTCTCAGAAGGGTCACAGATCTAACAGAGAATCCTACCTGGCCATAGGTTAAACTGTTCCAGGAGGAAGCCCTATGCTCCTGGCAGTGAGTCCCCAGTGTGTCTTGCCTACTCTTCAGTGGGTTGTGGTCTCTCCAACCTATTACAGCCATGAGTGTTATGAATAGCCATGGGCACTGTGCACCACACAGCACGGGCTCTGGGAGCATAGATGGACTTTGAGGTGGACACCTCTGGGATTCTCTAGATTGACTTACTTTTTTCCCACTCTTCCTCCAGTTCCTGAGCTGGTGCCAGGCAGGTGACACTTCCTGCAGCCCCCAGCATGTGGGCAGGCCCAGGCCTCACTGTTGTTTTGGCCCTGGTGCTGGCGGTAGCATGGACCATGGAGCTCAAGCCCACAGCACCACCCATCTTCACTGGACGGCCCTTTGTGGTAGCATGGGATGTGCCCACACAAGACTGTGGTCCACGTCTCAAGGTGCCACTGGACTTGACAGCCTTCGATGTGCAGGCCTCACCTAATGAGGGTTTTGTGAACCAGAATATCACCATCTTCTACCGTGACCGTCTAGGCCTATATCCACGCTTTGATTCAGCTGGGAGATCTGTGCATGGTGGTGTGCCACAGAATGGCAGTCTCTGGGCACACCTGAAGCTGCTGAAGAAACGTGTAGAGCACTACATTAGGACACAGGAGCCTGCGGGGCTGGCAGTCATTGACTGGGAGGACTGGCGGCCTGTATGGGTACGCAACTGGCAAGATAAGGACATATACCGCCAATCATCACGCCAGCTGGTAGCCAGTCGCTACCCTGACTGGCCATTAGACCGAGTAGTCAAACAGGCACAATATGAGTTTGAGTTTGCTGCACGACAGTTCATGCTGGAGACACTACGCCATGTCAAGGCAGTTCGCCCCCAGCATCTCTGGGGCTTCTACCTCTTTCCTGACTGCTACAATCATGATTATGTACAAAACTGGGAGAGCTACACAGGCCGTTGCCCTGATGTTGAGGTGGCCCGCAATGACCAGCTGGCCTGGCTATGGGCAGAGAGTACAGCCCTCTTCCCCTCTGTCTACCTTGATGAGACGCTTGCTTCTTCTACCCATGGCCGCAACTTTGTCAGCTTCCGTGTTCAGGAGGCCCTTCGAGTGGCTCACACCCACCATGCTGGTCATGCCCTCCCAGTCTATGTCTTCACACGGCCCACCTATAGCCGCAGGCTCACCGGTCTTAGTGAGGTATGTGCTTTTTAGGGCCCTGCCTTTGTCTTCCACCTTTTTTTTTTTTTTTTTTTTTTTTGAGACAGAGCCTCAAGCTATCCCCCTGGGTAGAGTGCCGTGGCATTACAGCTCAAAGCAACCTCCAACTCCTGGGCTCAAGCGAGTCTCCTGCCTCCGCCTCCCAAGTAGCTGGGACCACAGGCTCCCGCCACAGCGCCCGGCTATTTTTTGGTTGCAGCTGTCGTTGTTTGGCGGGTCCGGGCTGGGGATTCAAACCCGCCACCTTAGGTGTACGTGGCTGGCGCCTTAGCCGGTTGAGCTATAGGCGCCAAGCCTTGTCTTCCACCTTTGAGGAACCACTGCATGTCTGGGTAAGCAGGGGCCTACAGCCCATAGTTTATTGACTGCTCCATATCTCCTTAAATCATTCTCTCTATAACATTGTGCAAGGGTAACATCGTTACCCCCATTTGTACATAAGAAGATTGAGGCACAGAGATGCTGAAAAGTTTGTGCAAAACTTCAGATCAAATTCAGGTGGAACGGAGATTTGGTCCCAGCATTCTGACTTTGGAGTCCATCTGATACATGCCCTAGGCTCAGATGTGCCCTTGGCTTGGAAAACTGAAGCCCAAAGCGGGTGTTAGTAATGGTCTTAAACACAGACAGGTCTTCTGTCTAGAGGTAGAAAAGACAGGGCTGGAGCTGGGGAATCAGCAGCTTGCAACAGAATTAGGCCTACTGGCCCTGTCTGTTCTTCTCACCCTGAGTTCTTAGTCTTCTGTGATTATCCCTTTCCACACAGATGGACCTTATCTCTACCATTGGTGAGAGTGCAGCACTTGGCGCAGCTGGTGTCATCCTCTGGGGTGATGCAGGGTACACCACAAGCACGGTAAGTAAGACCCACCCAGCCTATTGGAGTCTTCAAGACAGGCAGAAGGTTTGGGCCTTTGACTACCAATATCAGGTGGACAAACCTAGTCTGGCCACTCTTGTCTCCCACTCGAGGCATCCCTGATTCCAAGCAAAAAGGAGGGCACCCCCTCCCTGCACTCAGGAAAGAGGAAATGTGGTCCTGAACAGCTGTCAAGCTCCATCCTTCCCCATCTGCCCCATTGGACTGTGGTCCCTGCCCCTAGTCCTTACTCAGCACAAGCAGAGACTGTGAAAGTTAAGGTACACTTGAGTGTACAAATGTGTGCACTGTTGAAAAGGTATAGCCACTACAGGGTGGACACAGAGTTTCCATCTGGGCATGTAGGCTGAAGCAGCTGACTCTGACCTATGATCCTTGGCTTCTGCCTTCAGGAGACCTGCCAGTACCTCAAGGATTACCTGACACGGTTTCTGGTCCCCTATGTGGTGAACATATCCTGGGCTACACAATATTGCAGCTGGACCCAGTGCCATGGCCACGGGCGCTGTGTGCGCCGCAACCCCAACACCAATACCTTCCTGCACCTCAGCGCCAACAGCTTCCGCCTAGTGCCTGGCCATGCACCTGGTGAGCCTCAGCTGCGACCTGTGGGGAAGCTCAGCTGGGCTGACCTTGATCACCTGCAGACACACTTTCGCTGCCAGTGCTACTTAGGCTGGGATGGCGAGCAATGTCAGTGGGACCAGAGGCGGGCAGCCGGGTGTGCCAGCAGAGGCTGGGCTGGATCCCACATCACCAGCCTGCTGGCTATGGCAACACTGGCCTTCACCTGGACCTTGTAGGTGTCTCTTGCCTGGCTGCTTAGCAAGCTAGCCTCTGCCACAAGGGCTTTCCTAGGCATGTAGGACCCTGTGGGGGGTGGACAAACTTGAGTCCAGAGAGGGCAGAGCCCCTGGGACATCCATACCAGCTCTCAACCCCCTGTTCTAAGGGGGCAGGGGGTGGGCCCTGGGAGGTCCCTTTTCTCCTTGCCAGAGGAGAAGGAGGATGCACCTGGGCTGGGGAGGGCCTGACCCTACTCCCCTGCCCCTAGATAGTTTATTATTATTATTTTGGGGTCTCTTTTGTAAATTAAATATAAAATAACTGCTTCTGTGCTTGGACTTCCTACACGTTGGCCAGGGCATATGAGAGAGATTGCATGGTCTCCCATGAGGCTTGAGATAGGGCTGACTGATCCCTTATGTGGTCAACACATCCTGGGCCTCCCACAGCTCTGTCTCTGTGAAACCCTTGAATTTCCCATCTATAAGATGTGATCAGTGGGACTTGGGGGTCCAGAGTTCCCCACTCTGTGGCTGTCCTGCTGGGTTATGGGGCACTGGGAGTGGAGGAACCCACATGCCATCCTAACACCAAGGTCCTTGCTTTTTCTACATTGATTAGAAGGAAGCTAGGCCCAGCCTGTGTGAAGGACGGGGGTCATATGCTTCTACCACTTGCCCCTGTACCTGTAGCTGAGCCAGGACCAGTCTACTTGCCTTGCCAACCCAGGGAGAAAGGGAAGTGGATGTTTGATCTTTTCATCTGCTCCCTGCTCCAAAGGGCAGTAGACTCCATCCACATATACCTCCCTTCATCAGTGTCATAGCCCTGCCTTCAGTCTGGTATTGGGGAGGCAAGCAGGGGAGTGAGGTCTAAATTTTTTTTTTTTTTTTTTTTTTTTTTGAGACAGAGTCTCACTTTTTCGCCCTCCATAGAGTTCCATGGCATCACCTCTCTATTTTTGATTTTTTTGTTTTGTTTTTTGGGGTTTTTTTGCAGTTTTTGGCCAGGGCTGGGTTTGAACCCGCCAACTCAGGCATATGGGGCCGGCGCCCTATTCCTTTGAGCCACAGGTGCCACCCTGTGGCGTCATATCTCACAATAACCTCTAACTCTTGGGCTCAAGCAATCCTCTCGCCTCAGTTTTTCTATTGTTAGTAGAGATGGGATCCTGCTTTTGCTGGTCTTGAACTTGTGAGCTCAAGCAGTCCACCTGTCTCAGCCTCCCAGGGTACTAGGATTACAGGTATGTGCCTCACCTTACAAACCCCATAGAAAGTATCTCCTCCAGGATACCTCCCCTGAGCTGCTACTGGCTGCCCTCACCACTCAGTAATTTCTTGAGTTTCCCTCCCAGAACCAGAGAGTTTCCAGAAGGCAGAGCTGTGTGGGTGAGTCATTACTGACAGGGGCACCCATGTATGGGTCTGGTGGTTGTGGGAAGGGGCAGAGTTAACTCCCATCAGAGGGAGTGGTCTGACTAGTCTAGCTATTTCTTCTCTCCTCTAGGGGAGCCAGGGACCAGCCATGTTCTCCATGGCCAGGACAGAGCTGATCTTTGAGGATTCTCTGGCTCCCAGGATGCCACCCCTAGCCTCATTATGCATCATGTGAGTTGGAGGTTGCTGTGAGCTCTGACACTACAGCACTCTACCCAGGGTGATAGCTTGAGACTATCAAAAAAAAAAAAAAGTGAGGCAGGCATCTTGATGCTCAGGAACAAAGTCTGGGCAAAGCCTAGAGGAAGCTAGAACATGGCTGGTATCTGGAGTTGGGCCTTGGGGTGTGGCTTGGGGGCTGCTGCAGGCAGAGGTAAGAGGGGCAGCCCTAGAGCAGCACTAGGCCTATCTTCGCCTGATGCATGTTTCACCCATTCAGTAAACACTGAGCACACACATGTACTGGTGCTTGGGATACAGCTGTAAACCATGTCAACAAAGCCCCCTGTCTTTGTGGGGAAGAACAAAGCTGAAGATGTACGCTACATGCAAAGACCAAGTCACATTCCAGACAGAGGCAGGGGGATGGTGTGGTTAGGGAAGCAGTCTGGAGAAACAAGCTAGCCAAACTGATGTCAATTCAGGTTTCAGAGAGATTCCTTCTTCATCCCTGTGATAGCAGAGAATGGAGAAGAGGATGAAGAGAATGGAAAGAGTCATGTGATAAATTCACTCAGTGAAGGGAGGAGATGGACTCACAGTTGCTTATGGCCATGGTGGGGAGGCCAATCTGGAGAGAAGATGCAGGTGTTGGTCAACAAGGCCATGAGGTGTGGAGCTCAGAAAAGGGGGAGCAAGGAAGAAGTTCTGACCTGTCTCCCCTACACCTGTGACTTTGCACACCTGTGAACTACTTAACCCACACCTATAACCTCCCAACACACAGGGATGATCCAGACCCACACAGCTGTGACTTTTCTCACCTAACTGATCCTATACAACTGAACCCTGCTATATGTGAAGCTGTGCTTTTCCCTATGAGTGACCCCACACGGATGTGACCTCCAAACGTCTGCTACTCTTTTTTTTGAGACATATAGAGCCTCAAGCTGTCCCCCTGGGTAGAGTGCCATGGCATAGCTCACAGCAACCTCCAACTCCTGGGCTCAAGTGAGTCTCCTGCCTCCGCCTCCCAAGTTGCTGGGACCACAGGTGCCCACCACAACACCTGGCTATTTTTTTTCCGGTTGCAGCCATCGTTGTTTGGCGGGCCCGGGCTGGATTCAAACCCGCCACCTTAGGTGTATGTGGCTGGCGCCTTAGCCACTTGAGCCACAGGCACCAAGCCACATCTGCTACTCTTTGAAAACTGTGACCTCTCCTGCACAGCAGTGACCTGTAGCCACCTAGCTGTGCTGTGACCCCTGCATACAAACCTATGTCCACCTCAAACTACTTTCTCCAGGATCCTAGGGAATGTCCCAGAACTGTTCTATGGGGATGGAGGGTAGGGAGGAGGAAATAATGGGGAGTGAGGTAATTCAGACACCTGAGATATGCACAGTCAGAGAGCAAGCAGGGCTGGGCAGTCAAGCTGGATGGGCCCCAAGACACACAACACCACTTTATACCAATCCAGCTGGACTATCCCTGTATGAGCAAGCCTGTGAGTAAGGCCCTGGGGCAGGCAACCTTAGCTCCCTGCTGTTCCACTATTAGAGTGTCTCCCTTGGACTGAGGCCAGATGGAGAATGCTGACTTGTTAGTTACTTGGATTGCACCAACTGTAGTAGTAAGTTTCTGGGGCTAACAGTAAGTAGCATGGATCCTCAGTAGTCTCCTATCCCTCAACCCTTGAGAGTTGTGCCACATCACTCCAGAACCCTGCTTCCTGAACAGGATCAACAGCCACCTTGATCCTGTGCAATGGTCTCAAGTCCCCAGCAACGTGGGCCTTTCCCTCAGCCCTGCCAGGTTCATCCCTGCCAGCCTGGAGGACCAAGCTCAGATGGTAGTCAACTGTGTTGTTGCTCCAGTGGCTACTCTATTGGGGATTCAGTAGCTCAGGTTCAGGCTTGGCTACAGACCCAGGCAGCACTTTCACCCTGGGCAGGAACATGGTGTTCCTTCACCCCACCCCGGCAGACAAGCCTAGGCCTGAACACTTAGCAGATCTCAGTAACCAACATCTTGGGAGAAAAGATCTGGGTACTATAAAGGGGAAAAAAAAACAAACAGTTTCTGAATCAGCAAACAAACCACAAATGAACGAACAAGCATATGCTTACTGATAGACCTATGCTCGTACCCGTTGTCACACAGTCATGGGATCTTATGCTCACAAGACAGCAGGATCTCAAACATATCCAGTCCCAGACAGTGGATCTCCCACTCACATGTACTCACCACTGGAATTTGTGTAGAAGCCCAGATGATCCCTAATTGAGGCTTCAGAAAAACACAATAACTGACCTAGCACACATACAAAGGGTGATGACACCGTACCAACTTCATGAACACAGAGCCTTTCAGAAAACGGTCCCTAAGGCAGGGATGACTTATCCGCTAAGCACAATAGCCACAGGGCCTAGAACCAAAAATGTTTCTGGTTTTTTTTGAATACAAGAGTCTTACTATATCGCCCTCTGTAGAATACAGTGCCATCATAGCTCACAGCAACCTCAAACTCTTGGGCTTAAGCAATTTTCTTGCCTCAGCCTCCCAAGCAGCTGGGACTACAGGCACCTGTCACAATGCCCAGGTATTTTTTTTTTTTATTATAGTTCTTGTTTAGCTGACCCAGACCAGGTTCGAACTCACCAGCCCCAGTATATGTGGCCAGTGCCCTAACCACTGAACTATAGGCACCAAGCCAAAACCCAGCTATTTTTAGAGTCTGAGGTCTCACTTTGGCTCAGGCTGGTCTTCAACCTGTGTGTTCAGGCAATCCACCTGCCTAAGCCTCCCAGAGTGCTAGGATTACAAGTGTGAACTACCACACCCGGCCCCCACCAAAAATTTTTTTTTGAGACAGTTTTACTTACTAACCCTCAGTAGAGTGCCGTGGCATCACAGCTCACAGAAACTTCCCCTTGGGCTTAAGCGATTCTCTTACCTTAGCCTCCCGAGTAGCTGGGACTACAGGCGCCTGCCACAACGCCCAGCTATTTTTTTGTTGCAGTTTGGCCGGGGCTGGGTTTGAACCCTCCACCCTCAGTATATGGGGCTGGTGCCCTACCCACTGAGCCACAGGCTCAGCCCAATGTTTTTGTTTTTAATCAGAAGAAAATATATGAATATATTAATAAATATGTAATAGTGAATCCAGTCTGGGTTATAGTCATCTTTACACCAACATAGAGTTGTAAAATATATTTTAAGATTTCTTTTTTTTTTTGTAGAGACAGAGTCTCACTTTATCGCCCTTGGTAGAGTGCAGTGGTGTCACACAGCTCACAGCAACCTCCAACTCCTAGGCTTAGGTGATTCTCTTGCCTCAGCTTCCAGGGTAGCTGGGACTATAGATGTCCGCCACAATGCCTGGCTATTTTTTTGTTGCAGTTTGGCCAGGGCCAAGTTTGAACTCATCACCCTCGGTATATGGGGCCAGTGCCCTACCCACTGAGCGACAGGCGCCACCCTATTTTAAGATTTCTTTTGAAGGACTTGGCGCCTGTAGCTTAAGCAGGAAAGGCACAAGCCACATACACCAGAGCTAGTGGGTTCGAATCCAGCCTTGGCCTGCCAAACAACAATGACAACTACAACCAAAAAATAGCTGGGTGTTGTGGCAGGTGCCTGTAGTCCCAGCTACTTGGAAGGCTGAGGCAAGAGAATCGCTTAAGCCCAAGAGTCGGTTTGCTGTGAGCTGTGATGCCACAGTACTCTACCCAGGGTCACAGCTTGAGACTCTGTATCAAAAAAAAAAAAAAAAAGATTTCTTTT